GCCCCGAGAGGGGCTGGGCCCGGCCGGCCCCGGCCGGGGCTGGGCCGGCCGGCCCGAGGGGTGGGCCGGCCGGCCCGAACCGTGACCTGGGCCGGCGGGCCCCGAGCCGGGGCTGGGCCCGGCCGGCCCCGAGCCGTGACCTGGGCGGCGGGCCCCTGAGCCGGGGCTGGGCGCGGGCCCTGAGCCGGGGCTGGGCCGGCGGGCCCTGAGCCGGGGCTGGGCCCGGCCGCCGTCCCCGCCGCGTCAGCGGCGCCGGCCCGCCGCTCCAGCACCGGCGCCGATCCCGGCTCGGAGCCGCGGACAGTGGCCGGCTCGGGCGCCACCGCTGCCGCTTCTGGGGAGCGTCGGGACAGTCCCGCGCTCGACGGACGGGTGCAGTCCTGCGGCGCCCTCGGGCGGCCGCCCTCGCCGCGCAGAGGTCGGCCCGAACACGCGGCGGCGCCGAGGGTCGGCTCCGGGTTTGCACGGCGCTCCGCGTCACACGATAACAGGCCCGATTACTCCGCAGTGGAGAGGCCCGCATGCAGATCCATCACGCGAGCCGCGCACGACCAAACGACCCGACGCGCGTATTACCCCGACACGGCACGAACGCGGGGATATCGCCCGCAACGCACACCGCGCACCGGCCCCTCCGCTCACACACAGCGCCCCGCAAAACCGATCGCCACGCAGCTGGCCGCCGATTGCACAACCGGTCCAGCCCTCCGCTCCTTCCACACCTCCGGCAGCTAATCACCGGACGGTCGGGGCACGGGTGGGGCTCTCAGGGTCTCCGGCGGCCCCCGCGGGCGGGGAGGTGCACGCCGACTGCGGACCCCGCCGCCGGCGCCGGTGGAATGCTGCACCGCAAGGACCGGCGTGCAGCGCGGGACGGTCAAGTGGCGAGAGAGCACGGCGCTGGACGACCGGCCAAAATCGACACGCTTGGAACACACAGTTGGGCAGAGAACCGATAACCTCGTTTGGAGGCAGGGGGTTCGCCTCACCTGGCCACCGATAGCTATTCTAGCCGGTGGAAAGGATGATTTCCCCTGGACAGCGTACACGGATATAACCGGGTAAAGGAGTAGGAGGAGGGGAGATCCACCCCCCCCCCCCCCCCGCTCTCCCCATCTAAACTTTGTCAGAAAGGACTTCTGTCCCTTGCTCTCATTTTTTACATCACGTCACCTGCCAAACCATGACTTGCACAGTCCCTGCAGAGCCCGCTCTGCCGCCCCCTCGCTCAGTCCCCGAAGCATGACTGCGCTCATGGCAAGCCCGGCCGCCAGGCCAGCCGGACTCGGCGGCGAGCGGATGGCCTCCGCGCGTCAGCGGTGCTCTCCCCGGCCGTCGGGGCGGCGCGGCCCACCATCGGGCCATCGGCGCCGGCCGGCCCCCGCGCCGTCCCAGCCGGCGACCTTGTCGCGGCCGCCGAGCGGACGGTGACCCGCGCTGGCGGCCGGACTGCCGCCGCGTCCCGGCGCCGGCGGCGGCGCCAGCGCCGGGGCGTTCTCCTCCGGCCGCCGTACACGCCGAGCGGACGCGAATGAGTCCGCTTGTGGCGCCGCGCCCGCCCGGACCGGCGTGATGACCCGGAACGAACCGCGCAGATGCGAGATCGCGGGGGCGATCATCAGATCAGTCGGCGGGGACACTGCGGCCCGATCGCGGCCGCCCGCATCCCCGCCCCGCTCCCAGTGTCACTGGGTCAGCCGGCCGACCGCGGGGGGCGTCACCCAGGGTGATCACACCCCCCGTCCAGCGGCCAGCCGTCAGCATCCGGCCGTTACGTGTCAACGACCAGGTCACCCGAGCCATCTCCCGCGCTGGGAGCGATCTCGTCCACGGGAGGAGGGCGCTGGCACGGGCCATCAGCCCACACAGCACTCCATTCGTGTGGCGTGCTAGGGACGCGTCACGGGCGGCACGTCCGACCTGCTGAGGTGAACAGCGATTTCAACTGAACTACAAGATACCGCACAGACGGGCAAAACAGACCCTTCTCCACCCTGGTCTGTCGCTTCACACCCTCCAGGCGCTTTACTTTTGCCTTTTTCCGAGTTTTCGCTTCGCCTGCCGGTGACCCCGGGTGTCGCTCTCCGGGCGCCCTCTGGCCTCCTCGCGTATCGGAGTCCGCCCCGCCCGGACGCTGCCGCCGGCGGTACTCACTCGAGGACGGCGGCGCTGAACGGCGACTGCAGGTCGCCCAGGTACTCGCCGATCATCTGCTTGCTCAACCCCTTGCGGGTGATGAGAAAGCGGGCCACGCTGTGCGGCGCCTCGTCCAGGAAGCCGCGCCCGATCAGGTAGTCGATGCCGCGCTCCGGCTTCGTGTTGAACAGGTTCAGGCCGACACGGTACTGGCGCTTGCGCACGATCTCCGGCACCTGTGGATGGCCGGTCAGGTCTGGTCAGGCAGGGCAGGGCAGGGCAGGGCAGGGCAGGGCAGAGCACGCCAACAAGGCGGACCCAGGCCGAGGAACTGATTTACAGGGAATGAGCCTAATGCCACATGACGTGCGAGATTAACACGATGACGTGGTTGACGTCATATAAGTGCGAATAGGCATCAGTCGAAAGGTTGGATGGTTGGTTGGCTACCTGGAATTTGAAAATTCCTTGCACGTGACTTAGTCCAAAGTCCATGGTTACATGCCAGACATTATTCTCTCCGATAATCCCTTACCACACGCCGTTCAAAGGCAACCCCACCAGGTAAAAAGACGGGTCTACGCATGACGCCCATGGCCACGAGTATGTGAGACACGTGCATTCCTTCCGTGGTCTACGCCGGTTGCAATCCTCTTAAAACTGCCGCGGGCTGACCGGTCCCCATCCCACGCGGCCTGTTCGGTCGTCGCCGCCGCCGCCGCCGCGATGCGTGAGCCGCCGTCCCAGCCCCGCCCGGCCGGCCGGCGCCTCTCCGCCCGCAGCCTCCGGGCGCACGGAAGACGACAGCGGGCCCGGCTCGGTCGCCCGGCCGGCGTGCGTGCGCCGCAGCCGCCGCCCTCATTGGCCCGGTGGCTTGGCCGGCGCCTCCGCCCGCCCGGCCGGCGCCGGGCTAAACACACGTCAATTAGACCGGCGTTGTCCGCACCGAGCGCATGGAGCGGCGGCAGTGCGTGCGACGGCGGGCGGCGGCGCCGGGAACGGCAAAATCGCCGCGTCACGCCCGACGGCCGCGCTCGCGCCCACCGCCGCCGTGGCGGTCACAGGAGCTCGGCAGGACCGTCGCCGGGGACCAGGCCGCCCGCCCGCACTTAATTCAGCAGGGGCTGGCGCTCCGGCGGCGGTAACGGTGCGGCGGGCCTGGTGACCGCGCCGCAACCGGCCGCCATCGGGGGCCGATCGGCCGCCGGCAACCGCGACCCGGCCGCCGTCCCCTGCCGCGCGCGCCGTAAACGTCGCTCAGTGACGCGATAGGCCGGCGATACGCGGCCCGTCAACAAGACGGCCGCGGGACGTGGCCGCTGCAGTCGGCCTGGCAACGCGCCCGGGCCGGGGCCAGCTGGTGCCGGCGGCCCGGCGCGGCCCGGCGGGGCGGCCGCGTCAGATTTAGCCCCGCCGCGCCGTGCCGCTCGCTCGCGCGCCACTCACCCGCCGGAAAACACGGCGCGGCGCGTGTACGTGGCGCGCGGCCGATCTCACCGCGTCACGATACGGGGCGAGGGTGGAAGCCAGCCGCCGGCGCCGCGTCGGCGTTCCGCACCGCCGCAGAAAGGCGCCCTCCGTCTGCACCGGCGGCGGAGGAGTCGGCGGCGGCGGTCACCGGATCGCTATCAGTGCACAGGCCACGAAACCGCGCCGACCGACAGACACGTGGGCGGCGGGACGGCGCGGTGCGACGGCATCCCGGCCGCGCCCCGTACACGTCCAGCCGTTGGAGGCTCCACCGCAGGGGGCGGCAATGACGCACGCCGCGCCCACCTGGAAACGCGCGCGCTCGCTCGCGCCACCGGTCGTTGACGACCGCGGACATTAGCATAACGTCGCATCATCGCCGCGCGGCGGCCGGGTGCGCCGCCGCGCCGAAAGCAGAGCCAATCCGGAAAAGGCGACACGCGGCGAGCCGGCAGCCGGCCGGCGCCGAGAAGCGGCGGTAACGAGCAAACGCAGCTTCGGCAAACGATCGGCCCCGGCGGCCGCGTCCGATGGCATTAGCAGCGCCACTCGCTCAATCGCCTCACTCTCGCCCGGCTACTTTCGAAAGGACGTTCTCCAAAGCGGACTATGCCATTTTTGACGATTGAGAAACCGTCTCATTCGGTATGCCGCGCGCATAACACGCCGTCGCCGTATCGGCCCCGACCGCGGAACGGCGGCCGGCCGGCCGGCACCGGCAGCCAGCTGCCAGGCCCGCCGCCGCCGCTGCGCCTCCAGCCCCCACGGACCCCTCGTCCCCAGACCGTCGGCGCCGCAGTCCCGGCCGCCGCGTGAAGCCCGCGGTGGCCGGCGACGCCGGGCTGCGCGGGCCGGCTGTGGGTGGGCCGTGGCCCTGGCCGGGCGGCGCGCGGGCCGGATCAGGGGTCACCGCCGACGCCGTCCACACTCAGCCATGATGGGCCAGAATCCGGCGATTAGCAGAGCCTCCGGGACAGAGTGACAGACAGCCAACGGTGGCACGGCGGGACCGGAGGTCGCCGAGATGGGCGACATTACGCAAACGCCAGGAAAAACCGGCTGCCCACAAGCCGAAAGGATACTTGAGCACGTGAATGGGTTCCTGGTATGTCAGGCTAATGCCACATTATATAACGAACATATAAATACCATGTGGAGAGACAATGGGATGCGGGGATGGAGAGAGCGCGGACGGGAGGTGCGAAGAAGCAGCGGGACAAGGAAATATGAATAGGAACATGAAAACGGACAGGGACAAGCACAGGGGCTGGCAGGGACAATGGACAGGAGCGGGGGAAACCGATACGGACAAGGTCAAGGACAGAGGAGAGGGGGCGTAAGACGGACAGCTTCAAAGGCAGCGAGACTCGACCACCCGGACACACCCACCCAGCGCGTTCGGACTCGTTTACCTTGCAGCTGGCTGTGGCCGGGCGGCCGGCGGCGGCCGGGCGGGCCGGCTCCGTCGGGTGGCAGACTCGCTCGGCGCCGCCGGTGGCCGTGTCGCTCCGCGCCCGCGACAGCGCTCTCCGCGCACCGCTGGAGCGACTCGACGAGCGCTGCAACAAGGCGCCGGTAATTAGCGCGGCCAGTGGCGGACCAGTTAGGCGGCGGCGCTCGGCGCGGCGGCGGCGCCTGTACCCGTGGGAGTGATGGGGACGCCCTGGGAAGGCGGCGCACGCACGCCACCACCGTGCACTTGGTCCGCGGCGCCTCGGCCGGCGGCGAAACCGCTCACACTCACACGGCACTACTCACAGTCGGTTCCGACTGCTCATAACAGAGGATCGCGCGATAAATCACGGATTTCTCCGCGCCGCCGCCTGAGCGATAACCTGCCGCCGCCATGTGCCCGGGACGTCTCCAGGCGCCGAGCGGCGTGCTGTTATACGGCGCTGGCCGCGCGCGGACACCGACGGGCGGCCGCCGGCTGGAGCATTCGGCGCCTCCCAAATGAGCGCCGTCCCAGCGGCGGCCCGTCACCCCTCACCGGGACTGGAATACGACCGCGGCGGCCGGCGGGATACAGCCCATCCTCTGGCGGCCACGGCGGCCGGCTCTGCGTCAGACGCGCCGTCAGCGACCGTCGCCAGCGCATCGCAGGTGTGGACGGGCGCGCTGCGGAGGTCCGGCCGCACCACCGGGTCCGGTCCGGCAGCGTCGGCGTGGCGTTGCGGGCGCGGCGGCTCGCCGTTGGGCCGCTGCCGGTGTCAAGGCCGGCCTCGCGCCACAGGCGCCCGGGCCCTCGGATCGCGGCTCCTTCGCGCCACCCCAAAACAGATCACCAGATCCGGCCCGGTTGATCCGTTTTTGATTCGTTCGTCCTTGTTTGCGACCGCAGACGTGCCGAGCCGTTTTGGCGCGTCCACGCCTCCGCCTCGCGCTCCCAAGGATGCTGCCGCGCCGCCCGGCCGAGTGTCTGATTCAGCGCGTTTGGAAGGGAGAGCCGTAAAAGGTTGGCCGCCCGCCGCTGGCACCTCCATCGAAGCGCCGAACTTAACGACGGCCCACCAACGTCCGCCAGATAGCCGATGGTAGGGTCCCGTCGCCCGCTAGTAGCTTCTGACATCAGGCGTGGGAATATGAGGAGGGGCGATGGGACCACACCCCACCTTTCATGAAGTTTAAACATTATCTCTTGGGTCAGGCGTGGAGATAATTGTCTTTGTGCGCGAGTTCCGCCAATTTTTGCGACGGTTTTCAGCTAATGGTCGCCGTGGGCGGCCAGGGGTACCACAAAATACCAGACAACCGAATACCAAACAGCGACGTGACAAAGCGCTTTTCACTAGTTTTCAACGCCGTCGTGAATCACTGTAATTAAACTACTTGTAGCGGCGCCGTCATGAAGAGTGGCTCAAAATGCAACACCGTACAGTGCGATTCACATAGAAGGCATCAATTTCTCGCTTTCTTTTCGGCTCGCGCCGCAACAAGCGTGGGAGCGCGGCCAGCACCGGTCCTGGCCGCGGCGCCGCGGGCCGCGCGGCCGGCTGGAGCGCGCCTGCGGTGGCGGGCCGACCACGGCCGACCGTGGTCGACAGCGGCGATCAGCTGACGTCGTGCTGCGCCGCTGCGGCCCGAGGCGGCCGGTCGGGGACGGACGGCGGCGGCCGGCCGGGGTCACGGCAGGCACGCCGCCCGCCGGCGCCGGCCTCCAACGTGACGGATGTGTCGGGGTCGCCAGGCCAGGACCTTCAGCCGGCGCTCGCGCCGTGCCCCGGGCTGGCGGGGCCCCCGCGCGCGGCCGGATCACGCCCGCAGCCCCTCTCGGCCGCCGCCGCCGGGCGAGCAGCAGCTCCGATCTGTTCGGCGCACGTCGCGCCGAGCGGACGCCCGCCGTGTGCGATGAGTCAGGCCCACCACCGCAGTACCGGACCTGCGGCCTCCCCCCGGCCCAGTGTCCAGCGGCGGCGCGGCCTTGCGCCGGGCAGCGCAGGGCGGCGGCGGCGCAGGCGAGCCGGGCCGGGCCGGGCGCTCCGGCCGCTCGAGGCGGGACATCCGGGTGAGGGCGGGCGTGGCCGCGCCGGCCTGGAGACGCGCGCTCGGACCGCGCCCCGGCGCCTCTCCACAACACGCCCGCCCACCTCGACTCGGACGGTGCGGCGTACACAGACCCGTCAGCACGCAGGGATGAGATCTCGGGATTTCTGCAGCGTCCGCGCATTTGCTGCAAGCGAGCGGCGTTCTCAGCAGGAAAGCCACACCGCAAACGAATACGTGGTAAGCGGGAAGCTGCAGTGGCCTGAAAGCAGTGCCAACACGAAAACATGTTTCATAAGCCGCCAAGCCTGAGACAACCCATGCGACGACAATAGGCACCATCCGGCTAAGCGCGCCGGTGAGGCGCTGCCATGAGACGGACGGGGCGCGACTGAGCGCCGGACCACATCAATGGGCGCCGGCGCCGTGCTCCCGAATCGTTGCCGACGCTGCTCGCCGGCCCGTCTCCGGGCGAGGGCGAGGCTCCGGTGAGGTGACTGCCGGCGCCTGCCGTCGCCCGCTCGCCGCCGCCGCGCCGCCGCGCGTGACCACCGACGCCAGAGCGGCGCGTTGCGCCACCATCCGTGCAGCATCCCTCTCCGGCGGCGGCCTGTGCCGTCCCGCGCGGCGACGGCGGTGCTGGCCGGCGCACGCGACGCGGCCGCCCGGCCGACGCGTGATGACCCGGCGCTGCCCGCGCCGCCGCCGCTGGCCAATCGCTGCCGGCGACGGACGGACGACCCTCGCGGCCGCCGGCGGCGCCGCCCACCGCGCGCGCGTGCGGCCGGCCGGCCGGGGTCGCCGCAGGGTCGGACCGGGTCACCGGAAACGGCCGCGGCGGGCGGCGCGGCTGATTGGAGTGCGGCAACGGCGCGATTGCAGCCCGCTGTCGGCGGCGCCGGCCGTTTTTGCCGGCGGCCGAGCACCGGACACTCCGCGACCGCAGCGCCGCGCCGCTCGTGACCGGCGGCGGCCGACGACCGGCGGAGGACTGCGGACGGCGGCGGTACCCCCCCCCCCCCCCCCCCCCCCCCCCCCACTTCCCCCACCGCCGAGAAGCACCTCGCGCGACGGAGGACAGATTGTCCAGCACACAGCCCACCGGCGGATCAGCCAGTAACAAACTGCGCGTCCGCGCGCGGAACAGGCTGGTGCGCCGGTCTCCTGCGCGGAATCATCTCTGACGTCTTCGATTGGCCTCAAGTGCGCGTCAGTGACGTCACGGTGGCGCGACTGGACAATTTGCATTCGAAGAAAGTCGCCGGTCCGGGATACGACCATCAGGCCTGTCACTGATTCAGATCGGTTACCGAACTGGTTAGCCAGTTCCGTGGCTAGCCCGGTTAGCCCGGTCAGCGCGTCGACGAGGTCTTCCCACGCACAATCCGGCGCCGTTCGCTTCCACCCCGCGACGCCACTTTCCCCTTCATTGTGCGGCCTCTCCCGAGACGGCACAGTAGCTTCCCGTCATTGTGGGATTCGGCACAGGCCGGAGCCGCGCCTCCCTCATTCCCGCCCCGCGGCCCATGCCGCCTGCCTTGCGCAACGGTCCAGGAGCGGACGCACAGTGGCACCCCCGCCTCCCCGAGGCTCGACACGTCTCGGGATGCTAGCGTTCGTTCACGCGGCTCCCGTCCTCCGACAAGCCGACGCTGACGCCGACGCCGACCGGCGCCCAGCGTCCCCAACGTGGCGCACGCCGCTGCGCGATCGCGGCAGCGTCGCCGCCCGTCCGGCCGGGGCGGACGCGGCCTTGGTGACGGCAGCACTTCTGAGCCGGCCCGGCCGACCGCCGTCACCGCCCCGGGAGCGTCTCTTCACAACCCGTTTGCGAGGGCCGTGCAGGATTGCGACACGACCGGCGGGCCGCTCCGCCGGCCGGCTCATGGCGCCGCCGGCCCGAGTCCGCCCCGGCCGCCCCATCACCCTCTCCCCTGTCCCGGGCACCCCGGTGGCGACCCAGTGGGCACTCGGAATTTCTGGAATCGAATGGACGGCGGCACCCAAAAATAGGCTAGTGTCCATTGTTTTCTTGTTATTAATTATACAATTTTTCGTTCCAGCACAGTGGCTTTACATGCAATAGCACCATCTTTGTAACCCTCTAATCCTGCGGCACAGGTAAGCACGATGTTTCCCACCGCCGATAGCCTGTTACTTTTCATTCTTTCCGGACGCCGTTTCCCCCAACGGCCTTTCCGGTCCGGGTTTTCGCCTCTGGCGCCCTGGGCCAGCTTTGGGCACTCCAGACCGCTCGGAGCGGCCACATCCGGCTCCCGGCGTCCACCCCGTCCGGGAGGGGTGACCGCCTCCAGCCCTCGGTGTCCACCCCGCCCCGGAGGGGTGACCGCCCCCGGCCCTCGGCGTTCTCCCGGTCCCCGAGGGGTGACGGACGGCCTCCAGCCCTCGGCGTCCACCCCGTTCTGGAGGGGTGGGTGCCTCCAGCCCCCGGCGTCCTCCTCGTCCCGGAGGGGTGGCCGTCTCCGGCCCTCGACGTCCTCCCCGTCCTGGAGGGGTGACCGCCTCCAGCCCTCGGTGTCCTCCTCGTCCCGGAGGGGTAGCCGTCTCCAGCCCTCGGCACCCACTCCGTCTGCCGTCCGCCGGCCGCCGTGCCCCACCGGAGCGGACCGGGCGGCCTCAGCGCTGATTGGAGAGATCGGCTCACCGTCCGGCGCGAGTGACGGCTTCCAGGCACGAGACGGGGCCGCCGGGTCTGACCGCGCCGGCCGCCGGCCGCCGGCCGTTTTCGCCGCATACGTAATGAACGCGTCCGCGCGACCCATTAGCTGAATGGGAAGGATTTACCGACGCAAAAGTCGGACTCGCTCGGTGGGAGAGAGAGCTGGGCTGACTGCGTGCTCATCACAAGGAGGCTTCATGCTCCGAACTGCCCATATATCGCGCGCGGTTATAAAGAGACAACCAAAGCGAAGAGGCCAGGCCGACCCGAGGATGTCTCTCCTCCTCCCCCCCCCCCCCCCCCTCCTCCGTTTTGAGGAGACGTTAAAGCTGTCTGGTATCATTTATGCCCGGCACATGCCAGACAATTCAAGGTGTAAAGCATTCACATTTACACCAGCGCGAGGCCTTAGCATTCAAATGAATGGCATGGGCCCCAAACATACGCTGAAGGGAACGGTAACGGGCTACTCAAAAGTTACAGCAATGAGCGCACTGTGTAAAAACCTAACGATTGTAGTGTGTGTACTTATATGGACTTGGACCTTCTTGAATGACATGAGCATGAGATGAGAGCTTTTAACACTGAGCGTGACGTTGCAACTGGATTTAGGCGGTTACGTTTCCGGCGAGAAACCTGAGATTAAATTAGAGTGGCGCCACGTGTTGCCGTGGTGATTACATCCGTAAAAACTGGCAAAGCACATAAACCATCAGTGATTTGCGTCATGCAATGTTGCATGTGCGAGGGTTGTGTTCGCCATCAGCTGGAAACGAGACAACGCGACTCTTTCCACTCACGGGTGGCACACGACCGCGAGTCTGAAAACTCGCGATAAAACACAGATAAAATCCCCCCCCCCCCCCCCCCACTGTCCAGAGCGAGGGAGGACGCGACCCTCTCCGCGAGGCATATACTGACACGCAACTCTAACAAAAGAAAGAAGATTGATTTGGCTTCGAAGCGCCTTCGGGACCGCGCCAATCTTTACCACGACAGAGCCCAGCTCCACGAGATCATCCAATCAGGACGTCCGGCGTCTGCGGCGACGACCAATCGCCGACGAGCGTAACAGTGTCGCGAACGCTCTCCGAACCGGCCCGACGGCGACCGCCGCGTGACCCCGGCAGGGTCGGGTGGGGTGCAGCGGCCGCGCCGGCCACTCACCTGGGAGCGCCGGCGCACCATCGGCGACGAGGTGCCTCACCTGAGAGCGACGGCGCACCATCGGCGACGAGGTGCTGACGGGGCCGGCCGAGGCCAGGCTGCTCTCGCTGCTCGAGCTGGCCACCTGTAGCCGCCGCGGCGCGCACGCCACCGAGCTGGTGCGGTGCGGCGGCTCCGGCGGAGGACCGCGGCCCCGCCGGCTCGGCCCCAGCCGCTGCTCGGCCACCTGACGGAGCGCGCCAGGTCATGTCAGGTCAGGTCACGTCACGTCACGTCACGTCAGGTGACGCCGCAGAGGCCGGAGAGGCGGCCCGGACAGCCTCGCCACTCCCTGACCGGTGCGAGGCCGGCACACCGTCGGTAGCCGCGATAATCGCCGCAGCGGTGGGAGATATCCTGCAGCAGTGCTCACTGCAGAGACTCGCCACAGACAGCCACCTCACTGACCACAGGGGTTCACCACAGATAGCCACCTCACTGACTACAGGGGTTCACCACAGATGGCCACCTCACTGACTACAGGGGTTCACCACAGATGGCCACCTCACTGATTACAGGGGTTCACCACAGATGGCCACCTCACTGACTACAGGGGTTCACCACAGATGGCCACCTCACTGACTGCAGAGGTTCAATAGCCACCTCACTGACCACAGGGATTCACCACAGATGGCCACCTTGCTGACTGCAGGGGTTCACCACAGATGGCCACCGTGCTGACTGCAGATCCCTACCACATACTCTCACTACATTCACCACCAGCACACGCACGGCCACCACGCTCTCAACAGGAGCTCATCGCAGACGGCTGACACACTCACTCCGCCAACACCACAGGCCGGCGCAACATAAGCCTAGAGTCTGCGGCGGAACATCACACATACAGCCTCAACATAGTCATGCTGCAGAGAATCTGCACAGTCTCAACACCAGGTGCGGAGGGTGGGGCTAGAGCTGATGATTTGGATGCGCAGGATTCGAACAAATTAAATAGATTCGAATATTGCTACCAATCAAATCATAAAAATGAGGGTTTAAACTTTAACACCATACCAAATACTCAAAAACAGAAATACCAAAATCAGGATTAAAGTCCTCAAAGCTGAACGTTGTCAAAGCTGAATACCGAAAGGTGGACCCTGTCATTTCAATCCGCAATGAAATACATTCACTGTTATCTTTCTCGGTTCACAACATCCTTCAGAAAGACAAAATGAAACGCGCGTGTGTCAGTTATGCATTGGACCGAGTCGGCGTACTCTTGTACAACACTGTACAAGTTTGAAATTTCGATGCCAACATTCGAATCTATTTCAATCTATTCAACTCCAAATCCGAATCCCAATCTGAATCAAATGACCGCACAATTCTAGTTCAAAAATGCTGCGAATCCTCGACTTGACGCAGGGGCTGAGTCACCGGAATGAGATCACAGGTAGATGACAGGTGGAGGGGACCCCGCCTCATCCGCCGGCCGCAGTGATCGGCCGCATAGGCAGACGTCCCGCCCACTGGGCTCGACATCCCCTCACACCAACACCACGCTAATAAGGCGGCCATGCACGCGACAGCCTTCCCATTCGCTCGTAGTCCAACCAGGATTACACGAGCTCCAGCTGTAAGTGGGCGGACTTCCTCCCCGATAACGCAAGCCCTTGACGCTGGGCTTTTACATCTGAGAGGGATTGGAAACGGGACCCATCCAAACAGAATCGACATGTACCGTTCGCTTAGCCCTGATGCGGTCGATAGTGACGCTGTCGGGTTGGCCGGCAGCGACGCGCCACCCGGCAACACCGTCCCAGCAGAGAAGACCAGTTCCAGGTAGTTGACCTCCACAAAGTGATTATAAATTCCGTGACCTTCGGGCCGTAATAACGCGTTGGTTTTTGGTGGTGTCGCCTCTCGTCCACCTCTGACAGCTCTCCGATCGCGAAACACCTGCGTTCGACATCAGCATGCATAAGAGATGCCCATCCGAGCCTATCGACTAATCGACCGTAGCCTTACGTACCGGAAATGAATATTAGAGACTCATCTATGAGCGAGACTGCTAACTAAGACCGTCAGATTACAGCTTGTTTTTAGATTATCTGGTGGATCTTCATACTCAGTAAAGCAAGTCTGAAATCGTACTGAATATAGCGTTTGTGTCCCAAAGCTTCCAGCTAATGCGTCACATTTTTCTGTCGTCTTTTACATGGAGCCTTATGGCCTTTTGCCGCTGCAATTTGACTAATTCTCGCATATCTAAGAGTACAAGGCACCCATCAGTGTCACACTCTTTTCAGTCAAACTTTGACTGACACCGAAAACCCGCGCTAAGTTCAACACGCTCTTCGCGAAAACCAAAAAACACAACGCGTCCGACATCCGCCCCCACGCAGCCGGCCGTGGACGGCCGTGGTCGGGCCGTGGACGACTGTGGACGGGCCGTGGACGCCTGTGGACGGCCGGCCAGCCGTGGACGGCTCGTGGACGGCCGCCGCGCGACCGTCGCGCCGCACCGCCCTCTGACGGCGACCGCATGCCGCCGTCACTACAGTTAGGTGGGCCGCGAAGACGATGCATTAACCATTTTCGCCGCGTAAGTGTCGGTAATTGGACGCGAGCCCGGCACTAGCGGCCGCCGCCGGTTTAGTTTGTACGCTCCAGTGGCGGCGGCGCAGCGGAGCGGCGACAAAGGCGCAGGGGTCACGGCCAGTGACCACGGAATACGGGACAGTGGCACACCGACCGGGGGGCACGCACGGAGTGTTCAGGACAACGGGCAGGGAGCACGGAACACAGGACAGTGGCACACCGACCGGGGGGCACGCACGGAGTGTTCAGGACAACGGGCAGGGAGCACGGAACACAGGACAGTGGCACACCGACCGGGGGGCACGCACGGAGTGTTCAGGACAACGGCCAGTGACCACGGAACGCAGGACAGTGGCACACAGACCGGGGGCACGCACGGAGTGTTCAGGACAACGGACAGGGAGCACGGGGAACAGCAGCACGACGCCCAACTACCCGGACGGCTACCAGGAAAGTTCCAAGACTGGATTCTGTGACAGCTTACTGCTGTATAATGGCCAAATACAAATGGTCAAGCACTCAAAACAGGACATGAACCTGGATCCAGTGCCACCCAATCTTCATCTCAATCAAATCGTGACAAATCGGCTGAGAAAAGTGACCGGAATTTCACCAACGTCATCTTAACGGGCCTCAAAAAGAAACAAGAAACGTGACCGCCTCAGACCGCGCGCACGTGCGCACTCGGACAGCAGCACACGGATAACAGATGGGGTGCCGCGGGTGTCCGCCGCCCCCGACATCACGTGCCGGACCGCACCCGACCGCGCCTGACCCCGCCAGCGCCGGGCGGCGGAAATTCCGCCAACCGACACCCGAGAGCGATTGGCTCATTTTTCACGCCGCAGCTGCGGGCTTTGGCAGTTTTACAGGGCGCGCAGGTCAGGCTGTGAACTGATGGTGCCCGCCGGCCGCTGGGAAACAGCACCCCGGCTGGAGAGCCACCACGCGCTTCACGCCGCACCGTGTGGGTTTTCGCCGCGGTCCCCGAGCGCTGGGCGGCCCGCGCGCCCCCTGGTGACCTCTTCTGTCAGGTCCCAGTCCTGGGCTTTTAACGAGTCCCAGCCGCGGCCCAAGTCCCCATAGCGGATCGGTGGAAATCGAGAGGGCCCGAGTCCTGCCCAGGGTGACACCACCGTACCCGGGGAAGAGGTGCTCCCGTACAGCGTACCCACCCAGCGAGCGGCCTCCTGCCCCCTGGTCACCGGCGGCGGCCAATAGCTGCACACACGAACATTATAAAACAAATCGACCAGCCGAGAAAGAGGCGCGTTCTCTCACGGCGTCCGCACCTGGTAAGGCGCGACGGCGGGCGGCGGGCCGTTGGCGTGCGGCGCGTAGTACTCGCTGAGGTAGGTGGCGTCGTTCAGGTAGTTGTAGCTCTGGTACTCGCGGTCGGAGAGGTCCGAGTCGTTCTCCAGGCTGCCGTTCAGGCCGTTGGCCGCGCGCCCGGCCGCCTGGCCGGACCCGGGCGCCGGCGGCGGCGGCGCGGCCGTCGGCGCCGGCCAGCTCGCCGGCACGTCAAACCGCCGCGACAGCCGCCGCTCCGTTTTGGCCGAGAGTGTGATGGCGCGGAACTTCTTGGAGAGCGCGTAGCGGCGGTAGGCGCGCTGGATGGTGGTGGCGGCGTGGCGCGCGCGCCGGCCGCCGTAGCGCCGCTCCAGGCAGGCCACCTGCCGCTCCGCCAGGTCCTGGCTCAGCTCGTACCTGCGGGCAGAGGTGAAGGGGTCAGCGGGCGGGTCCGCACGCGGGACGGTCGCAGCGGCGCAGAAACGCCCTCCCAGGCTGGGGATCGAACGCGGCTGACCTGTCGTTGTCACAGGGACCGTCCGAAGACCAAACGGCACTTAAACAGAAGTTCTCTCCCGTCTAGCGTGTGCTGGTATCAGCGGTGGACCACTGGCACTGATGACCCGTGACACATCCCTTAGACAGGGGTGATTTGGCGCGGCCCACGCGGCAAAACAGGAGCCGAGGTGTGCTCGGCGAACATGTGGCAAGACCTGTAACAGACCACGAAGTCCCACTCCCTTCGATTCATCTTCCTCGCGTCTGCGGTCTCCGAGTCACCTAATGCGGTCGGGCAGCGGGGGTCACTCCTGGACCAGGACATCCTACGTCCGCATCCTGGACCAAGTGGCGGCCCCTCCTCCCTCGGGCCCGGCTTTCTCCGCGCCGCATCAGAGCCTATTCCCGCACGTGCGGCGCACCGGCGGGGCGCGCCCGGCGCAGAGATATCGCCTGTCTCGCGCCGTCATTTCTTCCAACCCGACGACACCGTTACCGCCTGGGTGGGCCCGCGCCAGATCCTCAGCAGATTGACAAAACTAATGAGTTCGCCATCATCTTACGTTATCGGCCGACAGTCCCATTCAGTCGGCTGCCAGCGCGGCGCCGACCCATGCATCACAGGGTCTCCCGGCGAGTCGGCGAAACACGACAGCCGCCGCGGTTCCAGCACCGTTTTCGCCTCCAACCGACGCCAAACGAGCCGCACAAAGCCGTCGCGGCGCCGCAGCCAGCTGCGGCGCGCGCGGCGACATCCGACGCGCCGTAGGTCGCGCGCGCCACCATTGTGGCATCGGCGCCACTGCCGCCGTGTTCGCCACAAAGCGCCGCTCGAGCGCCAGAAGTGTACAAAGCGGCCGCAAAAGACGACGCACAATGCGGCAGCGAGACGTTCTTTAGGCGGCAGGACGGCACACGGGGCTGCACTCGGGTGGAAGAAAGACGCCGTCGGAGCGCGTGGAGACGGGAGACAGACACACGTCCCTGGCCGGACGGCGAAGCGCGCGGAGATGAGAGGCAGACACCGGTTTCTGGCCGGTGCGGCCGGGCGGTGGAGCGAGCAGAGAAGAGCGACAGACACCGGTCTCTGGCCGGGCGGTGGAGCGAGCAGAGAAGAGCGACAGACACCGGTCTCCGGCCGGGTGGTGGAGTGAGCAGAGACGGGAGCCAGACATCGGTCTACGTCAAGCACGACACGGCGGCGGTGTGACGCCTCGACACGCGACGAGGTAAATTGCTCTGAATTATGGGACAGCAGAAGAAATATGTGCAGACCACAAAAGACAAATTAACAAAAAGGCAGGCATAGTGAAAAGAGAGTTACAAATGCATGAGCCGCAGAACGGGTTGAAGCTGTAAGGCTTTTACGCGAGAGCATGCGGCATGTCCAAACATGTGTCGAACAGACCCCGTCGGCTACAAGACGACAGCGTTCAAATCAAAATTACAAGCACCTTCCCAGACCAATGACTAACCGTCACAACCAACGCCAACGACGAGAAGCACGACTGAGACACAGTGACGTGAGAGAGGCCGCAGCCTCGCCGTGGCGGCGGGGCCTGACGGCGTGGACTCGACTGCGGGGGGTTACGTAACGTCCGGCGACACCGTGCCGGATCCGGCGATCCGCCGGATCCGGGCCGAGCTCGGCGGCGCCGGCGCCGTCGGTCGCCGTGCACACACGACGCCGCTCTACACAGCTGCTCAAACAGGTCAGGGCGAGGCCGAAGGCCGGCGGCGGCGAGGCGGCGGCGCAACAACCGGCCCGCTGCGGGACATCTGTCGGCGGCGTCAGCGCGGGCTACGGCACTGCTGGCGGGACGGTGGCCGGCCACAGACCGACGGCCGCTTCTGCCGGGCGCCTCGCCGTTGGTCGCGAGTCTCGCCGCCAGGTGTCGACGCGATGGCGAACTCTGGCCGAACGGGCCGCTGCCCCACGGCCGTCTCCTGCTCAGGGTCGCCGGGGCGGTCCGGCGGCCGGACCGCGCCCCACCAACTGACACCCGGCCCGGCCCGGCCCGGCCCGGCCCGGCCCGGCCCGGCCCGGCCAGGCCAGGCCGCGGCGCCCGGCGCCGTCCCCTGAGCCACATTCGCAGCCGGCGCCAGCTCGACCCGGCTCTCCCTCGGCGCGAGGTCGGCGCGCTCCGCGCGGCGCCAGCTGCCACGCTCGGCACATTAACCCGTTAGTGATGCAAGCCGGAGCAATTAGCCACGAGCAAATCCATTGACAACACCCTTGAAGAAACGGCGAGAGCAGCAAAAATATACACTGCACCACCAATTAAAATGTCTCATCGCTGCGACAAGCGGTCGTTTACTTCTTGTCCGCATCGTCCCAGATACCGCACGGGCCGCGAGTGATGTAACTCGTCCTCATGCGTCGCAGCAGCTGGCTCGCTTTGCCACACTCTGCTTCGCTGGTTTTAGGTCAGCAGAACCTTCGGATGAACCGCTCCCGTTGTCTTTCTGTCGGCAGCGGCCGTTGCGCAACGCTCCGCGCGCCATCCCCACGTTTCGCAAATGAATAGACGGAATTCCAGACTGCGCAGCGGGTCGAAAGTGAACTTAGACCGTGTTCCGACGTATTCGCAAATGCATTTCGATGATCCTTGATGAAACTAGCGATTCACGCGTCTCCCCGCTTCCGAGCTCTCATGACACCACTAACCTACGATCCAAAACGCTGCGGCATACCGATTGTCACTGCAGCGGCGTCCGACGCGGAACCGCACCGCGCTGTCACTTCAGTCTCACGGCCTCCCGGCCCTTCACCGCATCACCACTAAGCAGCGGCGCCTGGAGCCCGTCGTGTGGAGCGCGCCGAGACACCGGCGGCGCGTCCCAGCTCATCCCCGCTGACGTCCCGTCCCCAGCCGCCCGTTCCCACGCGTCGGCCCACTGCACCGGCCCCGCCCACACCGGACCGGCACACTCACGCAGCGTAAGGTCAGGTGTCGCGCCGTGACGCGTCCCACGCCGCTTCGTACCGCACCGTGCCCGCATCGGGCCACGCCGGGCAGCGCGTTCACACCCGATATAAGATCTCGCGTGACGCCGCTTCATGCCGTGCCGGGGCCGCACCGGGTCAACCCACTCACACACGACATAGAGCCGACTGCAGAGGCGACTCAGCCGGCTGACGTTCCCTGCCCCGCCATGGCGACCGGGTCGGCGGCGGCACGCGCCGGGCCGCACGTGCCCGTCTCCGCCCGGCAGCCGGGGCCGGCTCGACCGAGCCCTGCCGCGCGCTCGGAGGCGGCGCGCCATGGCCCCGCCCGGCTGGGGTGCCGCCAGAGACGGGCAAGACTGCCAGCAGCTCACCGAGGCCCGGTGCCGGCGCACACCAGCGAGGAGCGCAGACCGGCCGCGCGAGGGAGCCCTGGAACGCGACGCGCCAGGGGCGCGCGCCCGCAAATAGCCACACGCGACTCTAATGATGAGCTGAACCAGCGGTGAGTGGGCGGGCTGATGACACTGATGTTGTGCTGAGTAACCGGATGGCAGCACCCTACTAATGGTATTAATGGAAGAACGGCACACAAAAAACAGGACGGTAGTGCACCAGCAAAGAACAAGCCGACAAGCATGACACATGATGTGACATGACAGTAGAGGCGTGACTGTGGGTTCCTTTGGGGCCTTTTGCCGTGCCGTCGGAAAATTGTCACTGCTATGGACGCCCACATATGTCCTTGGTGGTTTACGTTTCGTGCATGCACTAGGAAACGTCCTTATGCCCACGCGCGCACGGCCGGACTTGATTAATGTCTGGCATCGCGTTGCGGCCCTTCCAGCTCCCTTTCCCGTCACTTCAAAACAGCACAAGCATTTGCGAGAAGGAAAGAACCCAAAACCCCGCCGCTGCCCCGGCACGGCGAGTCCCAGAGCGTTACGTGGCGAGCTCCGCGATTACAAATGCCCCGTCAGTGGAGGTCACCAGGCGGTGTCCGGCGGCGCTGACGCCACCGCCGCGCCGCCGGGCGGTCTGCTCCGCGGCCGCTCCTCCCGCCGCGATAGAGTCCTCGCCGCCGCCGCCGGCCGACACATCCATCACGCGCCGGCCGGCGCGACCCGCCCCCGCACGCGCCGGCCGCGCGCCCTTGGCCGCCGCCGCCGCGGCGCGCGCGGCGGGGGCGGCGGTCGGCGCGGTCACGGCGCCACCGTCGGAGCGTCGCCGCCGGCCGGCGAGAGACGCAGCGCGTGTTCCGGGCGCCGCGAGCGGAGGTATCGCCGTGTCGAGGCAGACAGGGCGCGGCCGGACGGCCCCGTGAACCTGCCCGCCGCTGGTACGGGAAACGGAGGACGGGAGACGGAGGACGGGAGACGGAAGACGGGAGACGCGGGACGGGGGACGGGAGACGGAAGACGTGAGACGGGAGATGCGAGACGCGAGACGCGAGACGGGAGACAGGAGACAGGATACGAAAGCCGGGAGACGTGAGACGGGAGACGGGAAACGGGAGACAGGAGACAGGAGACGGGAGGCATGAGACGGGAGACGGGAGGCGGGAGACGGGAGACGGGAGACGAGAGCGCGGCCACACCGATGCCGTCAACCGGGACCTCTCGCCGCCGCCGTCAAGCCGACCACCTACCGAGCGTTGATGCGGGACCGTTTGATGCAGTTGTCGGCCTTGGCGCGGCCGGGGCCGGCCGCCAGCGAGCTGGACGCGGCGCTGGGACCGTCCGCCGGCGGCATGGTGCTGGCCGCCGGACTGCAACACAGGAGGCACACGTCAGCAGGCCGAACAGCGAGACGGAAAGAGCAGATGGGATGCGCCCGGTCAGACGGCGCAGAACAGATGGGGTGCGCCCGGTCGCATGGGACGTCCGCTTGCTTCTCACTCAAGCGGCCTCGATTTGGCAGTGGCTGATCCGCGAGGCAGCACCAAAGCTTGATACAGTGACGACAGCCTGAGGCCCACAGCCGACCGCCCGGCGCGTGGCTGGCGGCACGGACGCGGCCTGGCGGGTGCGGGAGGACCGGACAACGGATCTGACCTGTCTCCCGTGCACAGCGCGACACCACGGGAGGAAGGGGAGGGGGGGGGGGGCGACCGCCGGCTGCGATGACGGGCGTGACCGTGATCACGGAGCCGCCTCACAGGCGCGTGTCGAACGACGCCTGACGGAAACCAGCCGGCGCGAGACAAACGAGCGCAATTAGGCTCGAGTCACAACACAGTGCCGTTAGCTGCGTAATCCGGTCGACGATTTAATTCCATTCATCCCGCGAAGAAACGCACGGCAGCCCCGGGCCGCTCCAAAGAGCACACATCTGCGCGTTTACTGGCGCAGAAATAAACACCCTCGCGACCCGACCGGAGGCTGAAAGGTAATTGGGAGTGAAGATATACGGGCGGTAAATTCCTGGAGAAGTTCCAAATAATTAAAAGCTGCCCAGACAGCCGCGGCACGTCTGGAGCCGGCTTGCCACTCGCCACAGGAGGCAACCCGTGATTAAATTCCTTCGATTAATTAGCCGGAGGCGTATCAGCCAATACGTGTCAGACAGAAAGAGGAGAAAGAGACGGCCAGAGGAGAAACAGCGAGATGCGTCGATAAAAGCAGACAAATATTTGGGCAGGAAAATATTACCAGATAACAGCCAAACCAGCGACCGGGATCAAACAAGGCGCACGAGAGGCGGAAGCGACGCAGCACATGGCGTGAAGGCCCGAAGCGGCGAGAGGAGGAGGCGGGGCAGGAAGCGAGCGGCGCCAGCGGGCGGCGCGGAAGTGCGCCGCCGCCGCGACACCGCAGCTAAGTGCCGCGTCAGAGCAGCCGCCGCCGAACCACTCCCGGCCAGATGCGGCCGGCCGGGTGCCGGTTAATGGCCCGCTCGACATCACCGCTCGGCGGCGGCGGTCCGACGCCGCGTCATGCCGCCGCGGACCCGCCGCCGCCGGGCCGGTCAGGCCGACCCCGCTCGACCGCGGCCGCCGACCGCCGGCGGTCGGGTTGGTCAGCTGACGGCGCACGTGACCGCGCCATCAGCTGGCGCGGCCAGCCGGCGGCCGCGTGACCGAGCGGTCGTGTCATGGCCGCCGACCGTGCGGCGCGGTCGGGTCGGCCTCGGCAGCGCGCGCGCCGACGCGCGGCCGATCCGGCGGACGCCGCGGCGAGGAGCTCCGGATCAGCCCGCTGGAGCCCCGTCCCCGGGCGTCTGCGTGTCAGCCGCGGTACCAGAGCTCCATTTCTGATGGAGGGTTTGATGGCGACAGCTATCCCGACAGTACAGGTTATGCCCAGAGTGTAAGTGTGTAGGTGGGCTCGTCGGTCCAAAATCTCTCGGATCGACATCTCGGGTCTCGGTCTACTGAGCAAATCGACTGAGATGATCATGAACGCGGGGTGGAACTGGACCACGAGGGAGGCAGGGTGACAATGGCGCTGGATCAGGGCCGGGTCGGGTGTCGGTGGTGGATCAGGGCCAGGTCGGATGTCGGTGCGCTGGATCAGGGCCAGGTCGGGTGTCAGTGGTGGATCAGGGCCAGGTCGGGTGTCGGTGCGCTGGATCAGGGCCGGGTCGGGTGCTGGTTCGCTGGATCAGGGCCGGGTCGGGTGTCGGTGCGCTGGATCAGGGCCGGGTCGGGTGTCGGTACGCTGGATCAGGGCCGGGTCGGGTGTCGGTGCACTGGATCAGGGCCGGGTCGGGTGTCGGTGGGCGGCCTTCAGCGCGACCCCGCCAGACCGGTTCTCGCCACGACGAACGGCCGGCGGCCCGTGATCAGCTGATCAGGGGCCGGCGCGTTATGACGTCCGGGGCCTTGGCGCCGCCACCCGGACCGTTGGGTGCGGCGGCGGCGGCGGCGGGCCGGCCTCCCTCGGCCCCTCCTTCGCTCCCTCTCGGCCCCGTCGGGCGTCACCTCTCGGGGCGGGGCCTGGTCGGCCGCCGACACCGACGCTGGCTGCGGGCCGGACGCCGGCCAGGCCGCGGTGGAGGAGACGGCATGTCGGGGCGGTGCACCAGCGTCGCCTCCCAGCCGGGTGGCCCTGACATGCAGACGGACCAGAACAGACAACTCTGAGCGGCGCTGATAATCCGCTGAGGCTGCCCGTGGAGGCCACCGTCGCCGTTCCGCCAGCTCCCACGCCACCCGCGCGCCCAGCCCGATCCCACACACCACGCTCAGATGACCGCATCAGCTCACCAAAGACGACCCGAATCTAGTCAGCCGTGAACGTCTGAAGTCGGTCACACTCGCAGCCGCAGACACGCACCCGGACCGCCGCTGCACCCAGCCGGCACCCCTGACCGCCGCTGCACCCAGCCGATACCCTCTGACCGCCGCTGCACCAGGCCGGTAGCCCAGACCACCACTGCAGTCGGCCGGCACCGCTGACCGCCGCTGTACCTTGTCGGCACCCCTGACCGCCGCTGCACCCGGCCGGCACCCCTGACCGCCGCCGGAGCGGCCCCCGCGCGGCGCCGACCGTAACCGGACAGCCGGCCGGCGGCAGCCGGATCCGGTGACACGCACGCCGGCGCGGTCAGACGGCCGGCAAAACACACCACCGCGCCGCCCACGACCACCGGCCGGCGCCGACCGGAGTCGCCGGAGCACCGTATACGGCGCCGCGTGTTACTAGAGCACGCTTCCCCCCTCCCCGGACAATGCGACACTGTTCGACGGCGGGGCGAAGACATGCGCCGCAGCATCGCATCGGAACAAACGTCGCACACGCGACGCGCTCGCCCGGCGACCGGCTCGTTAACATGGTCGTAAAGCGCCTCGCACCACGGCCGGTCCGCGGGCCTGACTCCTGTTTGACAGCGCGGTGGTCCGAGCCTCACGAACGGACCGTGTCGCCGGAATGCGGCGCGAGCGGACGGGACCCGACCGACATCGGTCGGCCACCCGCCCGATAGCATCGATCCCACGGCTGGAACAACAGATCGCCACGATAACCTCAACCCCAGCATCGTCCACCTGCGGCGGAGAGCCGACCCCGTCCGCCTCAGACGAGAGCGGCGTGCCAGTTTCCGGCCTGCGGCGGCCGGCGCCCGCCGCGAGATGGCCAGGCGCGCCCGAAGACGCTGCGTCCGCTCGCCGCACGTGCGACCATCTGGGTTACGCTCGCAGGTCCGGCTCGTGTCTCTCGGCCGCCATCCTCGAGTCCCAGCCGGGTGACGCGGCGGCCGGGCTCGGCGCGACGCGGTGCGGCCGCAGAGGCGCCCGGTTTCTCTCGAGCCGCCGCGCACGACGGCTCCCACGGGCGAGGCGACCGGGCTCTGTTTAAAGCCCAGCGATTTCACGCAAACAATGGCTCGGTGCGCAATTAGAGCCCGACAGTGTGGCATGGCACGGCGGCGCGGGGCCACGGTTCACCGCTAGCAAATCATCTCTGACGGCGCCGGTTTCACCGCACGCCGCTGCCCGGCGCCCGGCGCCTCATCTCGCGTCAGCGGGGCCGGCGCCGGCCGCGCCGCGCGTCCCGCGTCAGCCCGGGCGGGGCCTGCACGCCGCTCAGACCGGCCGCGATCGGCGCCGCCTCGAGCCCCGACCGCCGCGCGGCCGTTGCGGGCCCCAGCCGTCGGCGAACGGGAGCGCAGCGGCGGCGCTCCACGCGGCCGGCCGCGCGCCGCTGGGATGGCGGCAGATCCGGTGCGACGCTCCAGATCCGGCCGGCGGCCGGTCGCACGGCCGGCGGCTCCGCGTGCGACCCAACCGCACGCGCCCGACCGCCCCAGCTCCGGCTCGGGTTAGCCGGCCGACCGCGGCGCCAGAGAAACCCGCCCGAACGCCAGGCGCCGCGCCACCGCACAATGGACAATGCCCGGCGGCGCCGCGGCCGGACTCGCTGCCGGGCACCGCCAGTCGGAGTGGTGGTGGTGGTGGTCTGGAGCTTTAAGGCGCGTCGACTGCAAATGGTCATGCAGCGGCCATCCGGGGTCACGCGCCCGTGTGACGGCGGGACCGCAGCGCTGAAGGGAAGGAACACTGGCAGGGACCGGGACACCCGCGAGACCGGGACACTGTGGGGGATGGGACGCACACGAGTGAAGCCGGCCTCTGACGGGACCGGGCCTCTGACACGGGAGAGGGTTTTTAACCAGAGCACAAGGAATCACGGAGACCGCTACAGTGACGGGGGGGGGGGGGGGGGGGGGGGATCACCGACCCAACGATAGCGACAATCAGCGTCTACAGTCCCGAAGTAGAACAACAATGAATCAGCTGAGCAATCAGCGTATCACATCAGCAAAACTGCAGTCGCAAAAATCCACAGCAACAGGCTTACAACAGCCTTATCAGCCTAGCATCGCGAGTGGACCGTTCCGGAGCACGTACACGTTCATGGACCCCCAGCGAAAAAGGGGCGCCGGCAAAATGCCCGAGCTTTTACAGCTAGCTGGGTGTAGGGCTGGGCTGGGCTAGCTGGGTCAATTTGTTGCAAATTGGAACGCCATGCCAGCGCTAATGAGGCCATTCATACAGCTTGGCCCGCAGCGCGATGGCCACGGGGAATTATACCGCTTACGACACCGGGAACAGCTCCGGCCCGTGTTCGTGCCGGCACCATTACGTGCACGATCCCTGGGCGAGCGGGCGGCCGCTATGAGCATACGCCGAGGGCTGGCCATGGGCACGGGACGAGCTGGCCGTGTACGTGAGCCCGAAGAGAACCTGAACAGAAGCGAAGACAAATGGCCCGCAGCTACACGACAACCGCTCGATCCTCCGGACCTCTCGCCTCCGTAATGTCACGG